CTGGCCCCGCCCCGCCCCGCCCCGCCCGCCGGGCTCACCGGAAGCGCTGGGCACATCCCTGCAGGGCTTTGAGCACCCGACCCTCGGTGGCCAAGTCCAGCGGGCTCCGGCCGCGGTGGTTAGCGTAGCTCAAGTCAGCGCCTTCCAGCGCCAGGAAGCAGGCGACCGCCGCACCTGCCGTCAGCTCCACGTTGCCAGGAAGGCCTGAGGCCTGCAGCTGGGTGGTAGGACAGACGCTGGTGAGGGTGGGCACGGCAGAAACGCTGGCCTGAAAGGAGCCCCGGTTGGCACTGGGCTGCACAGGCCCGGGCACCCCTCCCTGTCCAGGCCGCTGACCATAGACAGGGAGATAAAAGGCCCTGGCCAGGCAGCTCCGGGGGTAGGGACTGAGTCCTGACACTCTCTCTGCACATACCGCGGCCCAACCCCATTGGGCCCTACCCCCTTCCCCAGGCCAGACAGGACCACACACCCAGGAACACTGGCCACACCGTGGTGACCAAGATATGAGAAGATGCCTCCAGCAAACCACCGTGGCCCAGGCTGCACCACCCTGAGAGGGCCTGGCTCCCTGGACCATCCCTGAAGGTGCAGGTGGACAGAAGTCAGACCCTACCCAAGCCTGCAGCCAGACGCCATAGCCCTCTCCAGCACCCAGAGTCCCACTTCCTCACCCTGGACAGCAGCTGCAAGGGCCCTGGGTCCCCCCCAGCCCCATCAGCCACCAGGGGCAGCAGCTGATGACGCTGCAGTGCCACGTGCAGCGCCGTATCCCCCTCCTCATCTTCGGCATTGACGCTGCAGCCCGCGTCCACCAGCAGCGGCACCAGCCCTACATGGGCCTGCTGCACGGCCAGGTGCAGTGGAGACTGGAGCTTCCGGTTGCGAACATTCACATCACAGCGGCCCTGGGGAGGGCGGTGGGCACAGGCTCAGCCCCGGGACCCCAGTGGGCCCTGACTCCCCCAGTCCCTGGGCCGGCCCAGGACCCCGTGCCTGCACCTCTCTGATGAGAACCTGGGCCACCTCCCAGTGGTTGTTGAGGGCGGCCAGGTGCAGTGCCGTGAATCCGTCCTCTTTCTGGGCATCCACCAGCTGCCGGGCCCGTGCCAGGATCCTCTTGACAGCTCTGCGGGAGCAGCGACGCGTCAGGGGCAACCCTGGACTGGCCTGGCAGCACGGCAGGAGCCCGTGCCCACCCTACACTCACAGCGTGTGGCCTTTGAGGGATGCGTGGTGCAAGAGGGTGAAGCCTTGGCTGTTAGTGGCAGTGATGTCAATGCCTGGCACCTCAGTGAGGACCTCCACGATGCCACTGGCGGCACTGCCCGCCGAGATGGCGCAGTGCAGGGGCGTGTTGGCGTGAGCATCCTGTCGGTGGACCAGCAGTCACTTGGCAGGAAGGTCACTGTCTCCTTGACCCCAGGGACAGGGCCAGGGGACCCAGCACTCACAGGCAGGTTGACGTCACAGCCACGCTCACACAGGACCCTCACCACCTCCAGGAAGCCCCTCTGCACGGCCACGTGCAGTGCTGAGCTCCGGGTGCCATTAAGGGCGTTAGCCCCGCAACCTGAGCTCAGGAGCACCAGAGTGGCCTCTGGCTGGTTCCTGGAGAAAGAGGAAGCGGGAGACGAGCTGTGTCCACCCTCTAGACCTGCAGGCCCAGCCTACTGTGCTCTGCCCCGGGCCTCACCCCAGGGCTGCATAGTGCAATGCCGTGTTGCCTTCATCATCTGCCAGGTCCACGCCTGCCCGCGCCTGCAGCAGCAGTCGAACCAGCTCTACCTGGCCGAGGTAGGCCGCCACCTGCAGGGCAGTCCTGCCCTGGTTCTTGGTGTCCACCTGCCGGGAGAGGCAGCAGCAGGTTAGCCCCTGGGCCCCCACCCCTCCCAGGGGCTGGCCGGGCCTGAGAAGAAGCGGGGCCTCAGGAGCTCGCCTGCTCTGGGTGCCTCCGCAGCAGGTCCAGAGCCCGGGCCACGTTGCCCAGAGCCACCTCCACCACCAGCCTCCCTGGGTGCTCCAGGTCACTCTTCTGGGCTCGAAGTTTGTCCAGAACGAGGCTCAGGGAGCCTGGGGAGGCGGGGCTGAGGTTAAGTGGTGGCGGGGCAGCCCCGCCTCCCACCGGCCACGCAGCCAGCCACCCTCACTTTTGTTCTCCCTGGCGCGCTCGGCCACATCTAGGTTGGCATCCTCCTCCGGCCGGTAGGCCACCAGACAGCAGGGGCTGAAGGTCCACAGCTGACCGCCGACTGCCACACGCAGGTTTCCGTCTCCGAAAACCTTCACCACCTTCCCGATGCGGCCCAGAGCCTGAGGGGGGTAAGAGGGCAGGGTCACGGGCAGGTCTAGGGTGAGAGAGGGAGGCAAACGTGGGGGTGGGGGACTCACTGGGGCCATATCATCTGTCCACTCGCCATGCCCGGCCTGCAGCCGCTTCACTGTGTCAAGGTCGTCAATGACCCGCACCACGTCGCCCACCCAGAAGGAGTTGTGCTGAGTGAGAGAAAGGCACGTGAGGGGCTCTGGCAGGTAAGGGTGCCCCCATCCAGCTCCACAGGACAGGCCCGAACAGGACCCCACCCCTGCCGGAAAGCATGATCAGAGGAGTGGGCTGGACAAGGCAATGGGGACCTGGGCAGCATCCGCCCGACAGAAGCCAGGGTGCCCTTTCCCTGCACACTGATGGGGGAGGGGCATGGCCAGGCCCAGACTAGCCTGGTTCGGGAAGGGCGGTGCCCAGGATTGAGCCTGTTCCTCCTCCCACCAAGCCTTTCCAAGCAACTTCCTCCACAGCTTGCCCTCACCTGCACAGAACTCACTGTACAAACCCTGTCCTGTGACCCTACCATACCCCTTTCCTGAAGGCCTGCAGGTGTCCCAGTTCCAGAGCTGAGCCGGGCACACCCCCTCGAGGGGCCTGTCCTCTGCCCCAGGGCCCATCAGTGGATGCTCTGCCGCCTGCCTGCCTCCCCTCTCCTCCATTGCCCGTCCGAGAAACTGTCTCCCAACACCCACCCCATCCCCACTGCCCTGAGCCCAGTGTCCACCCCCGTCCTAAGCGGCCCTCCCATCTTTCTTCCTGCACCCACAGGAAGTATTCTAGAAAATCAGCCCAACCACACCACCTCCTGCCTTTGAGGCCGCAGTGGCTTCCTCTGCTTGCCCCAGCTTCCAACAGCTTCCCGTGTCACGCCTTGCATGTTCTGACACCTGGATCCCCTCCCCATAGAACTAATCGTCTCTGGACCCCATTAGGCCCTCCCTTCTTCCTTCAAGGCTGGGCAGGGGGCACAGAAGTGGGCGGAGGGACTCAGCCCAGCCCCCATGCACCTTGGTGAGAGCCCCAGGGTGGAAGGTCCAGCGGGTCTTGTGGTGGAACTGCACACGCACGTCCCCGCGGTCCGTGATGCGGTGCACGGTGCCCGTCTGTCCGATAAACTGTGGCGGGTCGTGGAGGCTGTGGCTGGTGGAGCAGGAGGGCTGGGGGTCCAGAGAAGGCGGGGAGGGAGGGCACAGGGGGCTCAGCGGGTGAGGGGGCTCACCTCTGCCATCCTGGGGTTCCAGCCACCATGGCCTTCCTGCATGTCCCTCAGGATGTCTGTGTCCAGCAGACACTTAACCTTGTCCCCAGGCTGGAAGGGCTGGCCATCAGCACTCACCCGGCGCTGCAGCTCTGCGGGCTTGCCTGGGGGGCAAGGCGGTGGGCCCAGCTCAGGGGCTACCCCTCCATGCCCCTGTCTACCCAGTGCTGCCCCTGAGGCTCAGCCACGCAGAGGGCAGCTGGGGGTTGTTGGTGGGGCCCACCCGTACCGAGCCTCGGGAGATGCTCCCTGTAGTAGAAGCCGCCGGCCGCCTCACCCACACACTTGAGGTCCACCTTGCCCTTGTGGCCCACGCGGTACACATTGGTGGTGCCGTCGGCCCACGTCACGCTGGCCACGCTCCGGCCCGTCTCAACATCCCAGCCACGGATGTCCACCACTCGTCCTGACTTCCCTTCCCCTCCTGGGAGACAGGGCCCCGCCAGCAGGCTCAGCCCATGCTCAAGGGTGAGCCACCCCGGCGGCAGCCATGCCCCACCCCCAACCCGGGCCTCCCACTCACCGTCCTGGGAACCCCATTCCCAGTCGGGGCCCCGAACCACCTTCGCCCCCTGGAAGATGCCCCTTAATGGGATCCTTGGGAGGCCCTGGCGGGGACTCAGTGTGACCCTGCAAAAGAGAGTGAGTCCCGGGCCATGAGGGTGGTGCGATGGTGCAGGCCCTCCATGCTCCTCTACTCTTGCTCCCGCTCCCGGGGGCTGCAGCCGGGGCCCCAGCTCCCAGCTCTCCCTTGGGACAGCTGGCACAGCAGGTCAATGCCCCTCACCCTCTGGGCCCAGACTGACTCTGCTGACTGCATCCCTCCCAGGGACCTTCTATGACACCAGGCTGGAGCGGGACCCCAGGCCCCCGTCACAGCACGGCCTCTGGTGCGGTCACACCACATCTGTTGCCTCCTGGTGAGCTGAGGGCCCTGTGGGAGCTGTCTCTGGAGCTCGGTGCAGGGCCCAGCACGTGGGGTGGGAGGAAGAATGCAGACTTGGTCAGAGGCACCCAGACAGCTGAGACCAGCTCCCACCCCGGCCAGTGGGCAGCTGGGATGTGGAGCACACAGGGAGTGTCAAGGAGGCGAGGGCAGGTGTGTGCCTCTGGGTGCCCATCCTGGCCCAGCAGATTCTTCCCCAGTCTGACCCCCCTCCACCGACCACAGCAAAGGAACCTCTCAGCCAGGCCAAAAGCACCCCCACAGCGGGTGCTGGCTGCACACCCCGCACAGGCGGCCCTCAGAGTCCTGGCCATGGCAGCACTGGGGAGCCACTGCAGAGCCTAGCTCTACAAGCGGGCCAGACAGACAACCCATCCACAGCACCAACCCCCGCATGTCTGCTCCGTGGACAA